CTCATTACCAGCGACCCCAAGGTCTCTGCTATCTTCGTCAACATCTTCGGTGGTATCGTCAGGTGTGATGATATTGCTCAGGGATTGATCAACGTTGTCAACGAGATGAACATTCGTACCCCCATTGTTGCTCGTTTGCAGGGTACCAACGTTGAGAAGGCCCGCCAAATGGTAAGCTAACTTTGATTCTCTGATTTTTGCATCTTGGTCTGATGTAACACTTTTCTGACAACCTTTTTAGATCAATGACTCTGGTCTCAAGATCTTCTCCATCGGTGACTTGCAGTCTGCTGCTGAGAAGTCCGTTCAATTCTCCAAGGTCGTCAAGATGGCCCGTGAGATGGACGTCGGCGTTGACTTCACTCTCAACAACTAAACTCAAGGCTGTAGTTCACAATCATACCGAAACTCCGTTGTATAGGGGCATTTTGAAGGTTCATTGCATTGGTCACTTTCGCAATACTGTTGAAGTGCGTGATGCGCCTTTTTGATGTCCGTTCTGAACCACCATATATGTTGCTGTTCTCAGATGTTTATGTAAAGATCAATTCTACGTTTAAGAAATTCCATGGCTACCATTTGCTTTACGCGAAGTGTCCAATAGACAAGCAATTCCCAATGCTTGCATGATTACGGATCACAGGACGCGCAGCACCCTGTCCCCAAGTTACCGTCAACCACTTGAGGAAACATTTTTTAATCTATTAACTCACTTCACGTATCTCTTCAACTTATTGAGACCAAACATCCAGCTAAAAACGTAGTCGGACAGCCCGTACCAAGTCCAACCCCAGTTGCAAATCCATGCCACCGTGACCTTGCCGCCAGCCCAGATGTAATGGCTTGGCTTGGACCACGGCCAGATCCATCTCCAAGGAGCACGACCGTAGAGGATTTCTGTCACTACCTGTTTGGCGTATTGCTCATTGGGAATACCAACAGATTGGCTGTGTGTGAGACGACGCTGAAACTCCGAGTTGATAGGGTAGTATAGCGAATCCTTGGACAAGGCGCGGGGCGTACGAGCAATCCTGGATTTGACGCCGCCCGTGACGATTGTAATCACCTTGACTCTGGTTGTAGTTTATTGTGTCAGCAGTAGTCAAAGCACTGTCAAAATACCATCACCTACCCAAAGGGAGCAAGTTCAACGCGCAATGTGTCACTGTAGATGTGAAGAGCAGCTTTGGAGGCGTTGTATACAGAGCCAAAAACGTAGGGCATCATCTGCTCGATGAATCAGTCAAGAATGCCCCACCAGATTCAGGAGAAAATCGATTCTTACCCCTGCCAGCGAGCCCAACTGCACAATTGTACCCTTCGCCTTGATGAGTAAAGAGGAAAATGTCTGGCACATATACATGACTGCAAAGACGTTCGTCTCAAAGGTCTGGCGGACTTCAGTCATATCAATGTCCAAAGCAGGCACCGTAAAGTCTGACGGCCATTAGCTTCACCTCAGCTTCGGATCATGGTCTAATTCTGCGGAAAGCACTTACTGCAGCCGCTTTAATCACAATCAGAAAAGTTCTCATTCATCGAAGCAATCAGATGGGGAATAACTAACGCATTGTTCACCAGATAGTCCAACCCCTTGCCCCCTAAGAGCTCAGAGACCTCTTTAAAGCAAGCTTTCACGCTCTCCTCATTGTCAACAAGAAGACTCAAAGTGTCGATGCCCTTTTCCTTCAGGTCTGAGATGGTTTCCCTGTCTCGAGCCGTAGCAAATACTCTCAGGCCGTTCTTCAGAAACTCGAGGGCTAAGGAATGGCCGATACCACCATTAGAGCAGCTGCAAGTAGTATACGTCAGCCAGAAGACCTCAAGAAGATAGCTGCTGGAGCTTTTCGAAGAGACTGGACTCACCCGGTGATCAGAACAGACTGACGCTTATCTTCAGCCATTTTGTCCTAAAGATCGAAACACCGTTGTATCAGCTTGCTGTCACCGTGCCAGTGTCGAGTACGCCTTTCCCCCAATACATATATGTAGGATCGGCAGCGGATAAGATTAGACCGTGCTTATGTGCCTGTAAAAGTTCGAAGTGTAAG